TAAAAAAAAAAAAGAGAGAAAAGGTGAGGCCAATACGAATGAAACATAAGCTAAATTTTTTTTTTTTTTTTTTTTTTTTAAATTTTTAAAAACAAAATAGATTTTTTAACTCAATAAGATAAAATGTCACATCTAAATCATAATCATTTTTTTTTCACAAAAATAAAAAAAATAAAAAAATCTAGAGGTAGAGTGAAAATGACTTTCTATCTTCAAAGAATTGGAGTTTTGGATCCCAATATGAACAATTACTGTCTGTTTTGTAGGGAGAACGTAGAAACTATTAATCACATCCTGCTACACTTCCCTTTGGAATGGAGATTGTGGTTTGAATTATTAGATTGGTGGAACTTGTCTTGGGTAATCCCTGGATCTATTGGAGGTCTTCTGGAATGGTGGTTAGGTACAAGTTGCAGCAGGTTTTAAAGGAGGATATGGCATTCTATTCCTTTTGCTCTCATGTGGTCTGTGTGGAAGCTCCGAAATGAATGTTTGTTCAACGAAATTCAACCAGATTTCACGGCTTTTGGGGAGTTACTAAAGGTCAGAATTGCTTTATGGTTGTATAATACGTTTGGGGTACATTATTCTATTAATGATGTGGTGTTCAACCTTCAGCAAGTATGATCCTGTTCAAGGCAGCGGAATAGAATTAGATTTCTAGGCTGATTTTGGTTGTTGTGATTATTATTTGTAGGTGAGGTGGCTGCTGTTTAGAAGATTTCTCGGGTGGGATTAATTTGATTGTTGGTTACTCATCTGTCTGGGTGTTTTTCTTACTTTATGGTTGGTTTTTTATCAATTTTTTGGGCTTGAGCTAGCACATGATTGTGCATCTTTTTTGGTACCAACTTAGTTGGGATTAGGTTGGGGTGCTATGATGCTATGTAGCTCTTGTCTTTTCTTTATTGATGGTTTCCATATGTAATGTATGTTTGTTCTCATCAATAAAGTTTTCTTCTTTTTGTTGATAAAATATATATATATATATATATTTTGTATATATACCGCTCATGTATGCTATATAGAGTCAATATATATATATATAAAATAATTAAAAGAGAAAAGAGATTGTTGTTCAGGTCCGTGAAGTTTATTATAAGTCTAGTTTTGATGATTTGAATAATTTATTTTGTACATCTACTTTGTTAAATAAGTAAGCACAAGAATAATAAAGTGCTTTTTTCAACATAGACCCTCAAGAAGTTTGAAGAATCTAATCACCCAATAATTTTTCAGCATCTATTTTAAGTTTGAATAAAGATTGAGAGCCCTAATTTTGGAACTCTAAAAAGACACTAATGGCATGGCACTCAATAAAAAAAGAAAATAAATACAACACCAAGGCCAAAACATCAAATCATTCCTGGTGGGGCCACTGCCACATCATTAGTGATAGCACTAATTAGTGCTCTCACTCATTTTCCTATGCATTCAACAATGATAGAGACCACTAATTTTGGAACTCTAAAAGGACCACTAATGGCATGGCACTCAATAAAAGAAGAAAATAAATACAACACCAAGGCCAAAACATCAAATCATTCCTGGTGGGGCCCACTGCCACATCATTAGTGATAGCACTAATTAGTGCTCTCACTCATTTTCCTATGCATTCAACAATGATAGAAACCACTAATTTTGGAACTCTAAAAAGACCACTAATGACAAGGCACTCAATCAAAAAAGAAAAAAAATACAACACCAAGGCCAAAACATCAAATCATTCCTGGTGGGGCCCACTGCCACATCATTGCTGATAGCACTAATTAATGCTCTCACACATTATCCTATGCATTCAACACTGATAGAGACCACTAATTTTGGAACTCTAAAAATACCACTAATGACATGACACTCAATAAAAAAAGAAAAAAAATATAACACCAAGGCCAAAACATCAAATCATTCCTGGTGGGACCCACTGCCACATCATTAGTGATAGCACTAATTAGTGCTCTCACTCATTTTTCTTAGAATTATTAGTGATGAGATTTTTTAGTGATCGCTATCATTGCTGATAATGTTATCTCTCAAAAACCAATACAAAGTCCTCAAAAATCAATCCAAAGTCCTCAAAAAAAAAAAAAATATTAGGTTTCACTTTTTTGATTAATAAAAATCAAAGTATAATATATTTAAGTTTTGTTTATTTTGACAAAAATATTTTCCGTACAATACATTTTTCTTATGTTTGGTTATATTATTAAAATCAAAGTACTAATAAGTGCATTAGTGGTGGCGGCTACAGAGCAAATGTGGAGGTCGTGGGGAGGTGGTAGTAGTATTGGTGTGATGATGTCGGTGACGGTGACGGTGACGATGATAATGGAGTGATATTAATAAGACTTTAGTTTATAAAATATTTTTTCTCTTTAAAAAAAAAAACTTGAAAGTAATTATTCAGTATATGGATAACATTAAAAAATAAAAATTAGGGAAAATTTAAAAAAAAAATGTGGAGAGTGAAAACTTTTTATCCCAACTAATGAAAATACATGATTTTTTTTACATAATTGAATACATAAATGATTTATATCTTTATCATTTTATAATTACTTTTTCACTCTTGACTTTTTTAATAAGGGAATTACATGTAGGTGAGAGAAAAAAAATTATCAACATATCACTCTCCGGGGTGGTTTGAGATGATCTAAATAAGTGTACTTTTTGACTTTTTATGAAATATGAGTTGAATATAGGTTGGGTTTGAAGTGATGTGTTAGAGAGGTGATGTGACTTAAATAAGATAGTGACTTTTTAACTTTTTTAGATCATGTCAAACAAGGCCTCAGTGTCTTTCATTTACACTCCACTACAGACACACTTACACTCTCATGTATCGATATTTTTTTTCCTTCCCCCTTTTTAATGTTCTCTCTAAAAATTAAAGTCTCATTTGGTAATTCAATGTATTAGTCTGAAGTCAAAAAATCACAAAAAAAAATAAATAAATAAAAAATCAACAACTTATATCAAAAAATAAAATATTTTCTTTTTTCTCTATTTTTTACATATATTTTTATAAAAAATTTAAAAATCATTCTAAATATATTAATTTTATTTATCTTATATTTTAACTTAAAAAATTAAAATATTATTAAAATAACATATTCTCAACCACTGTCAGCGTATCGAGTGTGGGTCCACAAAATAGTTGTAGATTCGTAGTTCAGACCTGTCCATCTGGTATCATCAAATCAGAATGTCAGTGAGTTGGTACTTTCGTAACCGTTGGATCATATATAGAAACAAACAGCGGTCCACGGTCAAAAAATAAACAGCAACTCTCCGCACTTCGTAATCTGAATTTTGGAAAATTGGCGTTACACGGTACCCTATGAACGGCTGAGATTGAATTTTTCCATCTCACCCATGCATAGTGACACGTGTAATGGATCCACCGCAACCCCTACGGAATAAAGAGTTATCTTAAGCTTCCGTTTGGGAAGTGGGTTGACTTTTTGATTTTTTGACTTTTTTAATTATTTGAGTTTGAGTTCAAAAGCTTGGCTTGGAAAGGATTTTTTGATTTTTTGACTTTTTAAATTTTTTTGTGAGAGAAGAGTGTAATGATTATGAGTTAGATGTGATATTTTGTTTGTTGTGGCTCAAATAGCCTATTCTGTCTTTTGTGGCTCAAAGAGTCAAAAGAGCCTAAATGAACTCTTCCCAAACGACACCTAAGGATCTTAAATATTCTATTAAATATTTTACCAAATTTCGAATGTGAAATATAATTAAATTTATGTGAGCCCACTTCATATCAAAGATTTAATAAAATATTTAAAATACACAACATTTCTTCCCACAAAAGCACACGCTTCTACAGACCACCGCCAACACTGCACGAGGACTCTCTCTAACATTATTCTTACAAGAAATACCCATGGCTATAGAAAGTATTCAATATATCAAAATACCCATTTATTTACTATTTATGCTTCCCAAAAATTAAAATTAAAATCTGAACTTGATTAAGAGCACTATGAGTCATGTTTTTATGATTGAAATTGTTTATTTTGTATATATATATAATTATTAAGTTTTATTTGTATTGAAGTCACATACAGCTATGTTTGTTTGGACGGACTGGATTAGCATTCCCATGACTAATAGTCTTAAGACTACGAATCCGTTGAATTATGTATCCTATCTTAACTAATAGTCAAGTTTAAAATAATTAATCCGTACTTCAATTGTTTAACCAAATATCGGATTAATAATTTTATTGGACTATTAATCCAATCCCAAACTCATGTCCACCCAAACAAACATGACCAATGTGTTTGACACATATACCTCATGAAAGGAGGGCCATTCACATGATATAGGATCTATATAAGATTTACTATTTGCCAAACATCTGTATCTTATTTTGTTAACATTACTGATATATTATCTTTTGAAAAACAAATGGTCAATTTGAATATGAAAATCGTAATAAATTTAACGGAGTATGATGATCAATTTCATATTTTGAAGTCTAAACCTACACGTATATATATAGAGATACACATAGTAAACCATTGTACTATTTAGATGAAAGTGCAATAAAAAGGAAAGAATAACATAAATGAAAAACAAGAATAACGGAGCATTTATATATTTCATAAATGTTTTAGGTTATGTTTGGTTGGGATTTGAAAAGGAAAAAAATAAATAAATAAAGAAATAAAATATACTTACATTTTATATAGTTTTACATATTTTTTTTTTAAAAAAATTTAATTTGTTTTTAAATTCCTCAACTAGACACAACTTTAATAGTCAAAATAAAAAAATAAAAAAAAGCAAGGTAAAAAAGAAAATGAATCAAGAAGGATAATAAATGAATAGCAATGCTAGGTATCATGAAAAACCTTTCATGAAAATAATCATGAAAGTTTTGTGACTCTTGGATTATACTTAAAATAAAGCACCATACACTAATCAAAGTAATCCAAGGATCATAAATTTTTCATGATCATTTTCATGACAAAATTTTCATGATCCCTAACTTTTCCCATAAATGAATCATACCTTGGAGACGATGGATAAACACAAGATCCATAACCTTAAAAACAAAAGAAGAAAAGAAATCAAATAATAAGCATACTCATATTAAACATAAATATATAGAGAGAGAAAGTGTATGTAGAGAGAGAGAGAGAGAGAGGAGGACAGACTGGGGTCGGTTTTGGCAATGGTGGCGGAGCCGGCGAAGTCGCAGCTGCCAGGGGCATTGGCTTGGCGCTGGTAATAGCTATTGAAGGCATAGGAAGCGTGAGCTTGAACGGTGTTAGGAAGGTAACAAAGCCCAGATGACTGAATCGGCCCGCAGTCTGCTCCGAAGCCGCATGCGTAGTCCAGAGCCGCCTGTAGAGCCTGGTGGCTGGCGTCACTCCTCGCCACGCACCATGTTGCTTCGGCCACTTTTACGACACCGTTTTGGGTGATGAAGAGAGTGAGAGTGATGACAAGGAATGTTGTAGCCACCAGTGATGCCATGGAAGAGAGTTATATGGTTTGTGCTGCTGTTGGGTAGTTGTAGTAGTAACGTCAGAGTTGGTAAAGCGAGAGAGACAGAGAGAGAGTCAAGGGTGGGGGAGTACTTTCTTTTCTTTTCTTTTCTTTTGCCTTTTATACTTTTCTCTTTTATATTTTGAATTATGACATGAAATGTTGTTTTAATGATGGCATGAAATGTTGTTTTAATGGGTTATAGTATAAATAATGGAGCAATTATTCGAATACCATTGATGGTGATGGTGAATAATGCTACAAATCTCACAAGATTTTATTAAAATTTTTATTAAATATTTCATAGGTTCTAAATGGTAATAAATTTCACACTCATGGAATATATTTAATAAAAATTTAAGTAATATTGAGAATACAGACATCAAAATAGGACATATATATCTCACATAAGGTGAGTCTCATATGATGTGAGACCTACATGTGAAACTCACCTCATGTTAGATATATATATCCAATTTTGTGTTTAGTATTTGTGTTCTTAAACTTATAGAAATTTTGATCAATCTTTTAGCGTCTATAACAATTTCATTGATGATATTGTCGGGTGGATTGACAATTTTTTCCTTTCTCCTCTTAATACTCGTTTGGTTTTCTCTCTTATGCTAAAAAATCACAAAATGACAAAAAAGTTAAAAAATTACCAAAAAACAAAAATCACAAAAAGACAAAAAAAAATTTGTCATTCCAAAGTTAAAAAGTCAAAAAATCCAAACAAGAAAACCAAACAACTAGAAAAATCTCAGATTAAAATAATCAAAAAAAACTAAAAAGTCAACTAAAAAAATCATTGCCAAACAACCCCTTAATTTTGTATTATCATCCGGCTTCACACGAAATTTTCCCAATTTCCCCCCCCTTTTTAATGATCAAGTGAGGCAAGACGGAATTTGTTCTCCTGCTCCATTCTATCTAGGGGTGCAACTCGGGCGGGCTCAACCCGAGCAACCCGAGCCCAGCCTGAGTTTTTTTAGGGCTTGGACAACTATATCTTGTAATCTGGACGGGCTTGGGCAGATTTTTGATGCCCGAATTGCAATTCGGGCTGGGCTTGGGCAGAACCAATGGCCAACCCGAGCAACCCGAACCCGAATTTAATTTAATATATTATATAAATTATATAATATATAATATATAATATATAGTTTTAATGGGTTATAGTATAAATAATGGAGCAATTATTCGAATACCATTGATGGTGAATAATGCTACAAATCTCACAAGATTTTATCAAAATTTTTACTAAATATTTCATAAGTTTTAAATGGTAATAAATTTCACACTCATGTAATATATTTAATAAAAATTTAAGTAATATTGAGAATACAGACATCAAAATAAGACATATATATCTCACATAAGGTGGATCCCATATGATGTGAGACATACATGTGAAACCCACCTCATGTTAGATATATATATCCAATTTTGTGTTCTTAAACCTATAGAAATTTTGACCAATCTTTTAGAGTTTATAACAATTTCATTGATGATATTGTCAGGTAGATTGACAATTTTTTCCTTTCTCCCCTTAGTAGTAGTTTGGTTTTCTCTCTTAGGCTAAAAAATTCACAAAATGACAAAAAAAAAAAAATCAAAAAATCACAAAAAAAAAAAAATCACAAAAAGATAAAAAAAAAATTTATCATTCCAAAATTAAAAAGTCAAAAAATCCAAACAAGAAAACCAAACAATCAGAAAAATCCCAGATTAAAATAATCAAAAAAAATTAAAAAGTCAACTAAAAAATCATTGCCAAACAACACCTTAATTTTGTATTATCATCCGGCTTCATACGAAATTTTCCCAATTTTCCCCCCTTTTTAATGATCAAGTGAGGCAAGACGGAATTTGTTCTCCTGCTCCATTCTATCCCGTGTTTGTTCTAATTGTAATTATAAATATATTTATAATTTAATAATTTTAATATAATAATATTGAACACTAAACTTTTATACAGTGATTTGGAATGATCTAAATAAATATACTTTTTAACTTTTTATAAAAAAATGTGCAGAAAAATAGAGAGATGGTATGACTCAATAAAAATAAAAAAATAAAAAGTGTATACTTACTAGTACACACCCCAAACGAGGCTAAAATGTGAAGTATTTGGTAGAAATTTGAGTAATACTAAAAACACAGACACCAAACTCAATATGAGACATATATGTTTCACATGAAGTGGGTCCCATAAGATGTAGGATCTACATGAGGTGAGTCCCATATTATAAAATATATTTATAATTTAATTACTTTTATACTTAATATTCATTTTCGCCACTTTATTTATCATTTTACATATTGTAACTTTCATTTTTCACAAATTTATTACAAGTAATGTATTATATCATATGTCATATATATATATTTTTTTATTGGTATCGTCATTTTTAAAACAGAAACGTTTTAGACCTTTAAATCAAGAACTCTAATAACTCAACAGAAACGTTTTAGACCTCTAAATCAAGAACTCTAATAACTCTAATGTGGATATAGATCTCATTTGATGGGATGTTTTAACTTCTATTTTTTTTTTTTGTTGTGATTTTTCAATTCATTAAAACTGATTTAGTGTTCCAAATTTTGTTGTGTCTTTTTTGAGTTCGTTGTTTGTGGCTTTGCACCTTCTGTTTACTTCCACTAGTTGTGGGTGATATGATCTGAGTGTTTTGTTGGACATTGGGCTTTTCTCAAGATTGTTGTATGAGAGATCTATACTCCTTTTTAGTTTTAGACTTGTGTTATATTTCATGTTGAGAAAAAGACTTCCCTACTCAATTCTAATCCGGCCACTAGGCGGCTATCAAAGGAAGAAGGGGAATTACTTATCAGTGGGAATTTTTTCTTTTTTTTTTTGACAAAACATGGAGGTTGCAAGTTATTCTGTGATGGGGTGTATTTTTTTTTTTCTTCTCTATTTCAGTGTAAAGTAATTCCTCCAAAGAGATGATGTTGCTTCAAGACATGTTTTCCTTTATGGACCCGCTTGAAATAGTTCTAATCAAAGAAATTCTTTATGAGAATTTTCATTTTGATTGAAAAAAATGTTGTGCGGAACCTCGAAACTTAGAATTCATATGATATGGATGAAGATTTGGTCAAGAACACCATGTTACCGAAGCAAAGCCAGGAAATGCCTTAGTTTGCATATTTGGGTATGGATTTTGGCAAAGGGGGTCTGTCACGGAGTTAGGATGTCTTAAAGCAATAACAGTGGAATAGGAGAGGGTTCAACGAGTGATGCCGCTATCAAAACGCTTCCCAAACGAAGGAAAAAAGTGAGTTTGGGTAGGAATGTTCTCCTCATTGATTTGAACTTGAGACAAACTCTCAACATTGTTGGTTAATTTAGTTTTTACATCGTAAGAGCTTATCCAATGTCGAAATTCAGACTAAAAAGCCTTCTCAATCAGATATGCAAGTTAACATGTCGGAAGTTCCCAATCCAGATGTTCAACTTCCTGCACACTAACCTAGTGTTTTTAACCGACATAACACTCCAATTTCTGTTCAAATTATGCATTTTCGAGTGGGCAGCTCTCCGAGAATCCAAGCCCCAAGACGTTGCAATGTGGTTTCAGATAAAACAATAGCTATTGAATTCCTTCCGGCCATGTTTGTTTGGGCGGATTGAATTAGGTTGGATTAACATTTTTATGACTAATAGTCCTAGAACTACGAATCCCTTTGAATTCTATATCTTATCCTATGTTTGGATTGAATTAGGATTATAATGAGGAATTAACAAAATATTATCCAATCCGATATTTGTTTAAGTGTATTGGAATGGATAGGACATGAGACATCTAATATATTGGCCATATTATGATCATTTGATAAGTTAGTCCAGACTTTGACTTAGTCCCTCAATTTATATCTCACCCCCTATATGGAATTGAATAGTTCATTATATGCAGGATACCATATCCAAATGAATTATTAATCCGTACTTTAATTTTTTAATCAAACATCAGATTAACAATTTTATTGAACTATTAATCTAATCTCAAGTACATATCCATCCAAACAAACATGACCTCAATCCCTTGTCTTTGTTCATAACTTTTCATCAATAATGTTATAATATTTCTCTTGCGAAAATTTATCATCTTTCATTAGTCTTGAATATTGACTTTGGTCGTGTTCAATCAGTTTGTTTCATGGGCCCTGTTTGGGATATAGCATTTTTGATTAAAATAATTAATAAAGACAATAAATTAAAATAGTTAATAAGATAAAAATTTACATTCAAATCATAATAATTTTATTTTTCTCTCATAACTATCAAATCAACTATAAAAAAACAAATTATCATCCCAAACTTTTTTAACCAAGCCAAAATAACCAAATAATTAAAAAAACTCAACTAAAATAACCAAGTTCACTATTCATGCAAATAGAAGATTTACCAAAATTAAAATTGTGTTTGAATTTATTGACTCAAAATAGAAGATTTGCTCAAATTTAAATTTCACAGTTCCATTATGAATTTCAAAATTGCATTTGTGAATTTTTCTCGTGATGAATTTGAATTAACAACGAAAAACTAGTTAACTGAATCATTCATGCTTAGATTGTGTTTGGATACCCAAATTCATGATCCAAACACAATCTAAATATTCTAGTTCCACAATGATCCTAATAAAATATTTCTATCTCTAATTTATCTTTTCTCCCTTTAGCTTCCCAATACACTTACAAATTTACAATGTAACGCCCCCAAAATTACACTATAAATACACCTCAAGTCCCTTTGATCGATATCCATTTATCCAAACGGAGCGTTAGTATATTATTCAACAGAAATGACAAGATAAAATATAGTCACGACTCTATCCATTTTCTTCAGCCAACAAATTACCAAATACAAGTGTATAAGGTTTGATCTTAGTACAGTTGGCTCAACTATCAAGCTATTTAACATGTTGTCTAAGGGCCTATAACAAAATTTAAAAAAAAAATTAACTTTTCAGAGGCTCAATAAAATAAGATTTCGTTTCAATATTTAAAATGAGGTTGACAAAAAACTTTGCACCAATATTGCATCTAAAAAAGAAAAAGAAAAGGGCAAACTACACTGACAGTCCTGTAGTTTGCCTTTAGTGTCATTTTGGTCCCTACAATTTCAATTGACTTGACTTGATTTTGTCCCTAAATTTTGAATGTTGTATCACTTTGGTCCAATAGATAATGGAAGTTAGATTTTCTGACGGAAACTAAACACCTGAGCTGCACATGATTTACTTTTAGGGGCAAATCAATTCATTCTAGATAAATAAAAAAACTCAATGAGTTAACCCAGTTTGAGTTAACTCACTGACTTATCTGTACGTATGTGTATATGTACATATGTGTATATATATATGAGAGACAGAGAGAGAGAGAGATGAGGCACCTACTCTTTGCCCATCAAATCTTGAAGCCTGCCCTTGAGCTTGAGCTCGGGGCTTTTGGCCTCCACTACTCCGGGAATTGATGAACACAACGAGGGGAGATTTTGAGGGCTAGACGGCCTCACCGGCGACGACAGTGAAAGCGTAGTGACGGTTGCTGGCGGTGACATCCTTAGATTCAATTGCGTCCCGTATGGCCAGCTGAAGGTATTGGGGCATCATATCACAGACAACCAACCTGTGCTCCGACTTGTAACCAACCCCGGCGTATCCATAAAATCCACAGTTCATGTTCTCTCTCCTCCCTACTTGCCTTTCTCTCTATAAAACCTTTGATATATGTAAGTACATTATTGAGTGTATAGGTATGAAGAACACATTCTTCAAATTGAATGTGCAAATGTATTATATATAGCGATATATGTGTGCGTGCGCGTGTGTGTGTGTTTGTTTATAGAGGGAAAGAAAGTTGATTTATGCAAGAGAAGACGTTTTCCTGGTGAGTGAAGTAGTGGCGGTGGTGGGGTAAGTGGCCAGTAGAGGAGGAGGGGGGAATTTAGTTTTGATTTTGAATGGGTGGGCTTGTTTGGTGGTGGATGTGTGTGGAGGTGGTAGGTGTCCGTAAGTGTTGCAAAGACAGATGGGGAAGAAGACATGATTGAAATATATCTATTTCGCCCTTGGAAATTAGTCACATGTTGTGCACATGTCACTTTTCATCAGAAAATCTAACTCCTGTTGTCTATTGGACCAAAGTGATGCAACATTCAAAATTTAGGAGCAAAATCAAGTTAATTGAAACTGCAAGAACCAAAATGACACTGGGAGCAAACTACAAGAATTACTGGTGTAATTTGCCCAAAAGAAAAGGATTGAATGCCAAATGTAACTACATGACCTCATGTGGTGGAAAAGAACCAATCCGCCAAATAATAGACCCTCGATTGATACTCAGGATTCCCTTTCCCTTCTCCCTCTCCTCCACCACCAAAAAAAAAAAAAAATTGCTGGATGTGTGGTATGTTCATTCTCTAATAAAATTGTTCTCATGTGGTTGTCTAAAAAAAGCAGGCTCCAGGAACCTTCAAGCATTACAACAATGATTGCATGAGAAGGCCACATCTAACTTAAGCTATGACACTTCCACATTAAATCTTGACTTTGCCCTATTCTTGGCTATTTTTCCAAATCCCGAATACTTTATAACCACCCATAAATCACATGTATCTATTAAGCCAAGCTACTCAAACATACCAGGTGAAGTCTTGAATCCACTATAGCGCAGTGACCTTTTTCTGAGCAAGGTTGTTCTCAATCTGAAGACTTCGCTGCCAAAAAGAGCATTTACAATGCATTAGAACAATATAAGTGGATGTCAAAACAATATTTAAACTTGAGCAGAGAGCTTTGTACCTTCAGAACTTATTTATTCGCAGCCTCCCAAAAGAAATTATTGTCATGCCATTGTAGAACAAATCATTAACCTGGACCTCCAGCGAACTCATATTCGCAACTAGTAGTGTGCAAGTGCATTAGCTGTGGTGAAACATAATAATGACACATGTTCTTCGTCTAAAGATATTATCGGCAACTAAGCAGTTGCAGAGAACAAAACCCATTTTCTCATTTAATGATTTGAAGATGTACATCTTAGAACTTTTTGCACATCAAAAGAAAAGAAAAAAGAAAAGATTTCAAAAAAAAAAAAAGTAACAAATTTTTCTGTAATTGTTGTACACTCACTCTCTCTGTCTCCCCCTCTTGTGTAGGGTGCTCAACTTAATCCCCAAAATCAATCAATTAGAAAGGTCAAAATGAATGGAAAGTAATAATTTGCTCAAATTTTTTCATAAAATAGGATGTAGGCTTCACAGCGAAGAACTTCTTCCAAAGATGCCTCACGCACGTTAGCATCACTAGCATGATACCACACAAAATCACCGTTTTCTTTCTCAGCCTTCCCATTTCCTTTTACACCTCGGACATATGCAACATAGTGGCCTCCCCTCATGGTACCTAGATGCTCCACCACACCAACCAAACAAAATTTGTACTCATCCATCTCTGTGCACCTGTAGTTTATTATAATTAAGATAAATTAACGCGACATTATCATTTACAAAAAAAAATAAGATTACATATATATAAGACACTCGGTGCTTGCAAGTTACAGAGGTTGGCTATATTTTATACAAAATACATATAAGAAACAGAGACGGTGTTACAAGTTGAAAGAAGCACATAAAGAAGAGGGGCACAAAGCAAGGAAAAAAGAGTAGAAGAGGATCAAAGTGCACTGTGAACAAAAATGCTTTGTATATGAGTTCATATAAAAGAATTATCAATTTGGTTTGTATAAATGTTTCACGAAATTAATTTAAGAAGGAAACTTTCAAATGTCTAAGAGCATTATATACATTCTTCTAACTTTTCTCATGTTTCTATATTAATTAGTTCATTTTCGGATTTAATAAAATTAAATCAATTAAAAAAATTATCCGGTCAGGCAATAAGTGTCTGTAAACGCTGCGTAAAGAGTACAGAACACAATGGATTGATTACTTGTAGTTCAAATGTTGAATGATCCTTCAGAGGAAAAAAAAAAAGAAAAAAAAGAACCCAGATCAAAATAGCTGTGACTTGGTAAAATAAGGCTGATGACGACCAAATGATGAGCTGATGCAAGTAGAATTTGTAGTAACATATGTATGTAGAAGGCAAGAAAGCACATAGAAAGAAATCAGTGCCATAAATTCACATATTCTGAATATTTATTTCACAAATTTTGAATACCCAACTCACCTACTCCAAACTTTGGACACCTAACTTACAACCCACTCACAATATTCTTTTATTCTGAATGTAACACTCTAATAAAAAACTATAGATCAAAAAAATGCATTCATAAAATGAAGTGTATGGTGTGAGCCATAACCAAAATGAATTTACTTCATACACTATTGTTTGAGTTCTACTGTTGATTAAACAACCTATCTTTACAATTAAAAAAGAAAAACAAAAAATCTCTTGGTAAATATAGCCGCCTATGAGATTTGTTGAAAGTGAATGATTGATATTTCACGAAGTTAATTTAAGAAGGAAACTTTCAAATGTCAAGAGCATTATATACATTCTTCTAACTTTTCTCATGTTTCTTTATTAATTAGTTCATTATCGGATTTAATAAAATTAAATCAATTAAAAAAATTATCCGGTCAGGCAATAAGTGTTTGTAAATGCTGCATAAAAAGTACAGAACACAATGGATTGATTAAATTGTTGTTCAAACGTTGAATGATCCTTCAGAGGAAAGAAAAAAAAAGAAGAAGAAAAGGTGAACCCAGATGAAAATAGCTGTGACTTGGTAAAATAAGGCTGATGCCGACCAGATGATGAGCTGATGGAAGTAGGATTTGTAGTAACATATGTATGTAGAAGGCAAGAAAGCACAAAGAAAGAAATCAGTGCCATAAATTCACATATTTCGAATATTTATTTCACAAATTTTGAATACCCAACTCACCTACTCCAAACTTTGGACACCTACCTTACAACCCACTTAGTATTTTTTTATTCTGAATGTAACACTCTAATAAAAAACTATAGATCAAAAAAATGCATTCATAAACACACTATTTTTTGAGTTCTAACTGTTGATTAAACAACCTATCTTTACAATTAAAAAAGAAAAATACAAAATCTCTTGGTAAATATAGCCGCCTATGAGATTTGTTGAAAGTGAAAGGTGTAAATAATAATAATAATAATATTAATGTGTGCATAAATTTTAAATGTTTGAATGACTACCCTAACCAATATTTCTGGAATCGCCACTGCATGCAAGGTTACTTAAAAACCATCAAGTAATGTCAAGTCAGGCTCCAAAACAATAAAAGATGGCTTCTAATGAATTGTTTCATTAGCTTAAGTGACTAAGTTTAACTCAAACTAATCTTACTTAGTCTCTAAGAAAGAGAATTTACTGAGTAATTATAACTTAATGATCATAGTTTAACTTAAACACTTCACTTAAGGTTTTCTAAATCACCTAAATGTTCAATTCTCAAGTCCAAGAGGATGAATTTGAATTCCCTTCGATTTTCTTCATATTTCTCTTTCTTTTTTCTAACTCTCTCTTCTACCTCTCAAGAAGAAAGTTTCTCTCTAACTTTCTCCGTCTTTTTCCATCCTTCTCTCTTTTGTGCTTTCAACTGAAAGTTTTATAGAGTAGAGTTGGTTGTGAAAGGGTTTCATGTTTAGTTGCTACTCCTTGAAAAGGGCTTTTGCTTCCTCTTTTCTGCTAAAGCACCTTAGTTATCACTTCACTGATTCTTGTTATTACAACAAAACTCCAAAAATCAAAGTACTCGTAAGAATGAAACCAAACACAATAAAGCACTATAAGGGCTGCTGCAAAAAGTCATTCAAGCTCAATGCGCCCCAGCACCAACATGGGGCCTAAAAGCATCAGAATCTAAAATCTAATGCTCCAATAAATATTCCCAGCTCACAGTGATAACTGATAAGCACTTCTAATTACAAGGAAATAGACACCGTGTGTATTTACTGAATGCCTATAGGTTCTGCCCCCTTCGGCCTTTTTTGTGTAAAATTCTATTTCCTATTAAAGGAAAAAATGAAGAGTCTAATTTAGAATCACATATTAAGCATTAATGCTGTTAATTGTTATGCAAGAGACATCTAAATAGTGAAAAGCACTTCTAAATATGTTTAAAGCATTGAACAGTAATACATACCAACGTAACGTTGGCATCCTTCACATAATTGACATACAAAACATATCATTCACATATCTACTAAAAAATCAATACCCACATACTTGTGCATGCTGTGGTTAGATAAATTTGTCTGTAGCAGACTTGTGGAAGCTGTATGCACATAAGCTTGTAACAGAAGACTTGACTGAATGAGCTAAATTAATGTTTAACTAGAACCATAGCTGTTTCTACATTACCTCTTCTGATATTTGAATCCTTTGGTACGTAATCAATCATTTCCAGTATCAGCATCAGGGATGTAACTTCCCTTCTATTGAATGTATGGACACTTGTTCTTATTTTTCCATTTAAGGTGGATGAGATTAATGCGCTTCTTCCTATCTTCTATTTGATAGTTGCTTTACTCTACGGTAAAGAAATAAAGAATTTAGGAAACTATTGGCATCCCGGATCAGTTGTGGATTATGTCCATGATGGACTTATAAGATGATGCAGGACACCACAATTGTGGAGGTGCCTTTTGGTTTGGAGCCCAAACAGACAAACCTGAGAGGCTGGCTGTTGGGTTGGGCTATAGAGGACAATACTTCCAGACGGAAGTTGGGCCATGCATTTGACATGGTATCAAAGCTAGGGTTGTGCTTGCACCAATGTGTGGATGTTGGCATCCCACATCAGTTGTGAATGTTGTCCATGATGGACTCATAAGATGGTGTAGGACACCTCCACTGTGGAGGTACCTTTGGGGTTTGGAGCCCAGAGGGACAAATCAGTGAGGCCGGCTGTTGGGCTGTGTCATAGCAGGCAATACTTCCAGGGGAGGGCTGGGATGTCATATAGTAGAAACAATAGTCCTACTTTTGGGGAAAATCCAAATCTCCACGGTGGGTAGATTCATATTCCCCAATAGCATTTGCATTTGTATGTTGAGAACAGCTCATGACTTATGTTAGTAATTATGTGCATGTTATGTACCCTGTTTCGTTTCTAATATTCAAGTATTGCGAGTCTTGATTTCTTAATGGTGTTTCCTACCAAACATTGGTGCCCAAGCAAGTTACTTTGGCTTAAAGTTTCCTCATTACCAAGCGAATCAAATTTAGTAACAATTTGACTACTACTAAAAGCTCAAATGTCCAATAAAAATAAAACACTTAAACTTGACTGCAGGCTAGATTCAAGATAACTAGAACAATCCTAAAATTTAAATAAACTAACGAAACAAATCAGCTCCCTCCATTTTTTTTCTTCATTATACTGGCATGCAAACATCTGACTTAACACCTTGATCTTCTCACCTCAGTGTGTAACTCAAGCACCAATTCAAGAATACATTTTATCACAGCATTTTCAAAGGCAAAAAAGCACGAGGTAAGGTGTTTCACTCTCACAAGGCACAGGCCACACAACATAAACCTCAGGGCTATGACCTATAAGTTTTCTAATTTTGTTTTTTTCATTTTTTATAAACATATATACTTATAACTGTTTAAAAATGGTGAAAAAAAGAGGCATTTAAATGTTTTAAGAACTTTGGGCAATACAAGTTTAAAAACTTTAAGGTATGTCAGATAAAATCATTATTTTGACTAACATTAATCAGATACTATTATTAGTTCCAGAAAGTCAGGGTACAACACTTGAATACATGGTAACTCTATTGTACAGGATGCAACAGGGTACACCAACAAATAGTACACGACATCGATGGTGCCTGGGGCTATTTGACTATAAAAATAAGAGCTCCTCTATATATATGCTTTATGAATTTATTGACTCTCTCTCTCTTCTGATGCTTGTGACCAGAGTCGTATGAAAGCAGATCTGTATGACCCAAGCCATATGTACACATGAAAATAATAACTATTTCTTTATTTTTACATCACAAATAAATTTATATTTTATTATATCAGAATAGTAAGAAACAATTTTCAGATTATACATATTAGAAAAGAAGTGTGAACAAAAAGTCTTAATAACTATTTTAGAAAGCAAAATTCATAAGCAAATTGGAAATTCTGCGCTGTAGAATTCTTAACATTAAAAATTCCAGAGAAAGGATTAATAAATATAAATCTCTTTGTTTTATTTCATCATTGGATTTGAAGTCTGTCTAAAGCGATGGACAAGGTTGTTATCCTAGTGTTCGAAATGTGTCCAGTTCTTAAAATAAATATATCAAGGATATTTTTAAACGGGTGTCCGACATGAAACATTTTTAAAAGCGTCCGTGCTTCTTAGACTAAATTGGTCTACTTTGCACCTGATTGTGATCAGGACCCAATCCTATCCATTCAAGGATAAAATTAAGACCACTATTTCTTCATTTCAATCAACTCAAACTTTGTTGAACAAAACCTCATCTGATCATCTCAATTCTGATCAGAACTTAAAACCTCAGTATGTTATCATTACTAAGTTCCAATTACTCTACTGTGCACTTTTTTTTTTTTTTTTTTTTTGAGACGTAAAGGAATTTATATTTATAAAAAGCATAAAAAGGGGATGTCTCCCATGTACATTAGTTAAACTATGATAACATGTATTGAACAAAACAAAAGCAAAGAAGGTCTATACACTTTGCTAAGAATTGTTCAATTTATTAACAACATGGTCTCTACCATGTGTGTCACCTATGTAAGGAATCTGAAACATCTACCATCTGATCCAAACTCAGCCAAACTAAACATTTAACCGAACTATACAAAATGAACAAAAACAAAGTCTTGAATTTACGAACAAGTTCCTCAAATCATTCGAAAGTCCTTTTGTTGCCCTCCTATCCTAAAAGCCACATCAAGCATAAAAGCACTAGCATCTGTATCTTCAGTAGCTGCTTCCCTACCATCCTCCTCTCCATCCATGCAACACGTTCAGTACATCCTTTGGAAAACCCAATGCATCCCAAACCACGCAAGCATGGTTGTTAGAATCATATGATTCGTGATTCGATTCATACGAGTTTCAACAAAAACGATTTGAATCGTGCTGTTGAATCAGAAATTGAGTGAATCGTACGAATCACTACAATTCAAACAATTCATTGCGATTCAATTCTATTTCTATTTTTGTTTACATGATACATGAAATGACGTCGTTTTTGCCAAACTATAACGACATAGAGAAGGGATTAATTAGTTATATTGATATACATGATTTTATATGTACACAATATAGTCATATTGATAATTTACTTTATTTTAAACACTGTATGTATTTTTATATGTACATAAATATGTAGAATTATATATCATATTAAATAAAATAAATCTTACGATTCACGATTCATTATTTTCGCAAAATGATTCATGATTCAATTCGCGATTTGACAATAATGCACGCAAGCACTAATCCCAACAAATCTGAAGCCACCTTGCAATGGATAAGCAAATGGTCCACCGACTCGTCATCAACCATGCATGCACATGCAAATCAAAAGACACTATAGATTTATGTCTTTCTAGCCTTACATAATGATTCTAGCTTTTGGGATTAGTGGTGATTTATCAATAAGGTGTGATTAAATTCAAGTTGAAGGTGAGCAGAACAATGTATATCAAACTATCCAACACCCTCTCTCACATGCAATCCAATCTTACAACGAAGAGTAAACAAACATATATAGAGAGAAACAAAATATAAACCAAACCAAGCCGAGCCATAAATCCCATCAAATGGGGTCAACTACATGAATCCTTCTTCTCTATTCGACTCTATACAAGGCCATATCGTTACTCAAATTAAGAAGATTTATATCTCTATTTACTACACTAGCCCACGTCAATCTAGATCTGCCCCTTCCCCTAACACTTCCATCTACCGTTATTGTATCACATCTCTTCACTATTGCCTTTGTTGGTTGTATATGACCAAACTATCTCAATCTATTCTCTCTTAATTTATCTTCTATCGGTACTACTCTTACCCATTCTCGAATATACTCATTCCTAACTCTGTCAGTCTTGCCACACATCCACCTTAGCATCCTCATCTCAGCAACACTCATTTTATCTACATATTGTTTCTTAATTGCCCAACATTCCATCCCATACAACATCGTTGGTCTAATGGTCATTCTATAGAACTTCCTTTTTAGTCTGGTGGGTACTCATTTATCGCATAGTATCCCAGACGCACTCCTCCACTTAAGCCACCCCGCTTTAATCCTATGGACCACATCTGCTCCAATCTCCCTAGCCGTTATGATAATCAATCCTAAATAATGAAAATGTTCACTCATAGGCAGTGCTTGGTCCTCAATCTTCAGTTCTCCTCTGCTTCTATTGTTACTGTTACTAAAATTACACTCCATATACTCTGTCTTAGTTCTGCTTATTCTAAATCCTTTAGATTTAAGTGCTTCTCTCCAAGTCTCTAACTTAGTGTTACCTCTTTTTATAGTCTCATCCACTAACACGATATTATCTACAAAAAGCATACAACATGGCACATCATCCTGAATATTTCTCATCAACTCATCCATAACTAAAGTAAACAGATAAGTACTTAAGGTTGATCCTTGGTGTAACCCTATAGTAATTGAAAATTCATTTGTTTCTCCAGCCGACAATCTTATAGTGGTCATCACATCTTCATACATATCCCTAATCACATCAATGTAACCTTTCGTCACCCCTTTCTTCTCTAATACCCAACCTAAGCTATGATACCATATTTGATCATCACTAATAACAAATGCTTAAGTTCTTAGGAAATAGGTCCAACATTGTATATCAAGCCATACCCACCACTCACTAGTGCAATTAACCCTATATCTAGCCTATTTGGGCATCTATTTTCTAACTTCTATAATCAACCATTCATCTTACCATAGCACCTCTCCAAGAGAAGAAAATATCCGCCACCTTCTAACTTCTAAGGGAACACTTATTCCACCCAAACACAATAAGAATCAATGACTGACCGCAACTCTCTCTTCACTCAAAGTGGATAAGAAGATGGCTCAAAGATTCACCATCATACTTGCAAAGACAACACCAATTAATATGACTTTTCTTTCTCATCAAGTTATCAATAAGAAGAATCTTGTCATGTGCCATAGTCCAAACAAAAAAACCAACCTTTGAAGGGGCCTCAGCAACCCCACACTCCTTTCCAAGGGAAGCCTGACCTTCTTTGACCAATCAATGTCTCGTGATAGAATTTCACCTCAAATCTTCCTGACTTCAAGCTCATCCAAAACAAAGCACCCTCCCTCTCACCTATGTGGGGGAAAGAATAGAGATGCTCAAGAAGCTCCAACAATCTTCCACCTCCCAAGTCCCAATCATTCATCTCTCTCCAAAGGCCAATATTCCCAAAAAAAACCCATTGCTCTACCTTGTGGCACTCACTAATACTGCCTCTTTAGTAATTGCAATTCTAGCAATACTAGGATAAGTTTCATCCAATTTCTCCTCCCCGCACCTTAGATGATTCCAAAATTTCACATGCACACTGTTTCCCACAGCAAATCAAATGTATGATGAGAATCTATCCTACCCACTCCGAAATGCCATTCCAAAGCCACACCATACATGCCAAGTAGATTTTAGGAAGTTTGGGACATAAGGCTTGGTTTGGTTTCGTTTGGTGTAATTGGCTTTCAAGTGGGTCTCATGTTACAGAAAGATTGTACTTTCAATGTTTTAAATGGTAGAACAAATATTATAAGGTTTATGGAGAAATGTTTCTTGATTTTAGAAGTGGTAAGTTTCTGGATTTGCAGAGATTTTGTTGCTGATTAAAGGTTACAGGTAGAGAAATGTTGGGATTGGTTTAGTTGGATGAGGCAGCATTTCAGAAAATAATATGGGTTGTTTGGTGGCTGTGAACAGCACTGCAAGAATAGTAATCTAGCAGCTATGCTAATAACAGAAGAAAATGAAGAAAAGAATCCCAACTTGACAAGGCTTAAGAAAAATCACACCAACTCCACTCAAATTCTTAGAAGTCAAACTTCCTTGAACAGAAAAATCATACAAATAACTGGAGGCCAACAAACTTCTTTTTCCGCTAGCACTAAAACCCAATAACAATATAACTTGGTTTGTTATGACTTGTAGTACAGCCATGTCCAGAAAACTAGAAAATACCAAACTATTCTCAACAACTAAAGCTAATGAAACAGAAATAATTACGTCCAGAAGCATACTACGCTGTAGACAATATAAAATAAATGCTCAAAAACCCTAAACTTCAATACATAATGTCCTGAATAGGCTCCCACGTAAAATTTCCAATTTGCCCTTATCCTTCTTCACAGGCTCCACATCACAGATAAGGCCATCTCCAACGGTTCATCAAACTTTGCATCAGATTTGAAATTTGGTGAAAAAGCCACTTTTTAGAGTTCCAATGGTTTCAGCAAATTAGTATCAAATTGAGAAAACATCAAAGGTTTCACCAAACTGAGGACGGCTTGCTTCTTTCACCAATTTACTGTGCATAGCCGTTGAAGCAGAAATTTGTGAAAATTTTACACTAAGTGGTCGACCACCCGGTCGGTCGACCGGCTCATGCAAAAATTGGCCTGCGAATTGGTTCAAATTGGTTCAAATTACTAGTTCAAACGGTTCAAAAAAAATTTATAAAAAAAAAAAAGTGGCCTTACCAGTCGACCGGCTGGTCAACCAACCGGTCAACCACTTCCCTTTTGATGCACAGTTGGAGCAAGCCATATCAGATTGAGAAAATTAGCTTTTTTTTACTCAAATTTGGTGAAAAATTTGGTTCACCGTTGGAGATGCTCTAACTACTATGATATTAGCACCAATATATTATTATTAAGACCTATGACAGAATATCTCAGCCTGTTGACGATCCCATTTTCTGGTATAACATGAAGTTCTCCCCCAGACTAGATATTAGATTGGTGCAACAGTTCTGTGCACATTTATACCCCAATCTTCATTGTCATCCAGAAAATTGAAGTTATAGCAATCAAATATGAGAAACTAGGTTGTTTTTTCCCCCTACAAACGGGGTCATGAAAATCCAATTATCCAGCTTGATGTCTGAAAAAAGAAACTGCTTGGATGCATCAAGAAGAAAAAGGAAATTAACTAAAGTTTTCAATGAATAACAACAAAGACAATTTTGTTAAAAAACATAAAAAGTTGAAAATAAAAAAGCATTAAGAGAGAAATGGTTTTTCCAAATAATTGGTAGAGAAGACATAAGAAGCAGAAAAAAAAAAAAAAAAAAAAAAAGGGAAGAAGAAGAAGAAGATAAGCAGCAAATGCAATTGCAGCATTAATAATTAGTAATTCGTCCAAGCAAGGGTTAGAAGCACACCTAGGATCCATGTATGGCCTTAGATCAATTGTATCACTGAAACCCACATGGCCATTCAATTTACTTAAGCGACCACGAGCATCTTGGCTGAACCTCTTCAGATGAATGGTCAAAATAGGTGGTGCCTTATTAATGAGTATCCTTTTACTTGCATCCCTCTTCACCATCATGCTCTCAGAATGGATCTCCTGACTGTCACTTCCTTCAGAATCAGATACTCCAGGTAACAACTGTGATTTCCTTTGCTGTAACTCATCGGTGTCACATCCACCACAAGTAGGCTCCTTAACACTGCAAGAATCACTGGCTTCACCACTGACACTTGCTTGACTACAAGTTCTATAACAACTTGAAGACTGTGATAGCTCTGCAAGTGAATTGTTCATCTCACCATTTCCATCTTTTGACTGGGAAATTGCTAGGATCAGCTCTTTTTTCTGATTGGTCTCATCTTTGTAATTCTGGTTATCTTCAGTTTTCCCATTATCGGACACAAAGCTTTCATCAAAAGTACCAACTACATCTTTTCTGTTATCTCCGATAGTAAGGTTTTTGACCTCATTAGAGCAAAGGCAATCCTTTGTTGCACTTGATGGAGCCCTTTGAATACTATCCTCAACCCCACTTACCTGAATCTTGGATGTAGCTTTCTGCCGCTTTTTCCTTGATTTCATCCTTTGCTCACGAAGAACTTTTGAACAGTTTTCACAATGCCAAGCATGTTCATTGGAGAGAAGCTCTGGTTTCGTGAAATACGCCAAGCAGCTCTCTACGGACACTGGAGAATCACTATTATCGACTTCATCTGGATCAGACTCACTGCTATTTCCAACTAAGAAACCAGTTTCTGCAATTTCGTTTGCCGGAAAATTACTCTCACTTGACAAGGGTTTTACATCGGGCCCTGCAGCAATTTCTGGCTCATTAAATAAGTCTCCAAAGCCATCAAAGTCCAATGCATCTGGTTCACAGCCAACAGCTGACGACGAAACCTCACCTTCTCTCAATACCTCACCACTAGTTGAAGTTTCTTCTTTATAAGGAAGCAACAGAACTTCAGAATCTTGGACTTGTAATGGGAGGTCATTTTCAAAAGAATTCCCTAAACCATCCTTGCCTCCAGAATCTTGGACTACTAATGCATCGTTAACTTTGGAAGCCAAAACAGGATCATCTGATAATGTATCGGGTTCAAGGTAATCCAACCATGTCAAATTGTTCAATGAACCTGCTGTTTCTACTATACAAAGAGAATGGATCTGCCTGCTAGATTCTATGCCATCCTGTAACAAGGCATCGTTTTGAACACCATATTTTTTTCCTAAATCATAAATTACTGCCATATTATTAGGTTTTGAATCCATATCATCGTCATTTGACACAGGATTTGGTTCCAGGTAATCCAACCATTCTAAATTGTCAACTGAAGCCTCTGTTTTATCCATGACATTCTTGATGAATGTATTCTTTTCAAACTCTTCAGCAGTCGAGAGATTTGATGAAACTGAACTCTTTTTATCTGCCACTGTACTAGGGCCAACGGATTCAAACACTGTAGAATCGACCAAAGCATCTCCCACTTTTTCTTTGACAGGCACAGTAGATTCCACTTGGCAAGAAGATGAACCACCGGCTGATGGAACTGAAACACTTTCAGATGCTACAGAATCTGCATCCCTATTGAGCTTTGGACGAATCCTTCCACTTCGTTTTGGAGGCAGTTTTGGCTTCTTGGCTCGAGAAATAGGTTGGGCCCTTTTAGATGGGGGTTTCTTAGTTGGAACTGGAAGTGAGAGATCTAGAAATGGCTCAAACACTGTTGACGAGTGCCCACATTCCAAACAAGAAACAGTACTGGATAGTTGGCCCCCAAAGATGCCATCAACAAAAGTAGGACCCAGATTTGAGGAAATCCCATTTTCCACAGAAGTAGTCTGTTTTCTTGCACTCAACTCTTCAGTACACAACCCATCGAGTAAACAATGAAGCAACTCATGACTGTCATGCTGTTGATACCCCCTAAATTGGGAAGCCTTGGCACAAACAAACCCGAAAAGGGATTTTGGATTTATCACATTTCTCAAGCCAGCCTCTGGACTAGTTTCGATAAAGAGCTTCTTTAAAGAAACGGTAAGAGGACCTACAGACTCATCCAATTCCAAAAAGTGATTCCGTAATCTCTCCATTGCTAAGAGATTCTGCATGATTGAATTAAAGAAGCAAGTATTACCCAGATTAACCAAGCCTCTAACCACATAACCACTTTTTCCATCCAAACTACTTGCGGTGTTTTCTGATTTTACCTCACTTATAACACTGCCACTCCCAAAATAAACATTCTCAACATCCACTGAGGCCCCTTGAAATGATCGCCCCTTTATTAGTTTCACAATATCTGACAGCGGATCTTTCTGTTCACCACTTTCCTTCAATTTTTCAACCGGAATAAGTGTATTGCAAGGGAAGCACCAGCGTAGTTGAAGGTTTTCAAATTGGATAGCCAATGGATGACGGGTTTGCCTGGCATGCCGAACTGCATGGGTTTGAGGGGTTGTTGGGAATCCAATCCCCCCGCATGAAAGATGACCACATTCCAAACAAACCCAAATTGCTTTAGACTCGGGTTTCTTGTCCACAGAACCTCCCCCTTTCTTCTTCACCTGCTTGCCCCTTCCCTTACATGCCCGCCTATCAACCACACCTTCTCTGCAATCTTCACACCTAATATGTTCTATAGACCTTATTCTTGAAGAAAATTTAGCTAAATCAATACCCTTATCAAGATGGGAACACACTTTCCTCTCTTTTATGACTGAAAGTCCATCATCAATGCTTGGAATGCTTTGCTGGGCGAAAGTTTCAGTTTTCTGAGAAAGGATAGAAACTCGCTTCTCTGTATGACCACTTCGGGCTTTCTTCTTAACTTTTTTCGTCATTAATTCCTAAAACCAATCCAGGAAAACTATAAACACCAAATACCCCAAAAGAAATCAAACCAAATCCATATCCCGTTTGGATTGAGGGGTTTGACTATAAAAGAAAAGAAATGGTGAGAAACAAAAATCTTGTCACTTATTTGGATGAATGAGGAGAGGCAAAATGATGTGAAAGGAAGAAATTGAAAGAAAGTGAAGTCTTTTAAAACTCATGTTCTATTTTTCACCAAACTTGGTGCCATTTAGTGAGAAAGGTAAAAATTTTATAATACCTAAGTTGTCCATGTAAATTAAAAAAAAAAAATTAAAAAAAAAAGAAGAAAAAAGAACACCAATAGAGTCCACTTTCTATCATGTTCATCCAAACATAATGTGAGAAACCGCAGTTATTTCTTTTCCTCACTACCATAATCTTTTCCTTTCATTCCTTACCTAACTTACCAAGAGGACTGTTACGCTGTATTTAGTTGGTGATTTGGAAAGGGAAAAGAAAAAGTTAAGTAAAATATGAATAAAATCCTTTTCCCTTTCCAAATATCTTCTCAATTCTTCCAATCACACACAGCGTTAAGCAAACATCCTAATGATCAGGAAAAAAAACAGTTTCAAAGAAATCCAATAAAACAATAAACATTAAACACTAAATAATTAATAATTAAAAAAAAAACATACTAACAATCATTAGTAAACCAAGCCATTCCTAAAATCCCTATAGTCAATTAATTACAAACCCACTTATTAAAAAGAAGGGGAAAAAAATACACAAAAAAAAAAAAACATAATCACATCAAACGATCAAAACAATACATACACTCAACAACCCAATCCAATTATTCCACCAACACATACAAATATTTGAAAAAAAAAGCGAAACCCATCAAAGATTTGTGTTTGGAAGATACCCAGATGAATAAAAAGAACAAAATATTCACCTCAAAATCTGATATTGCTTGAACAATCTCTGACGGATTCTCAGAAAGAAACTGTTGTTCGAAGATTAGGATCTAAAGAGAAGGGTATTGAGCTGTGTTAGAGAGAGAGTGGTCAGTGGAGTGCGCATTTTAAGGGGTTTGGCGAACCCTCATGGTCTCTACTATCTCTCTCTCAATGGGGAGAAGAGAGTGAAACAGAGAGGAGCTGGAATTGGAGGTAAAAACAGAGAGTTAAAAAGAGGGACAGGGTTTAACTCCGGACCTTGGAGAGTAAGGCCCCTTTTGTTTGGCTTACAGGGAGGGAGGGGTTTGTTTCGGGGTTTAGGGGGGATTGGGATTACTAATCGTGTGGATTATTAATGAGGTATTTGTTTTGAGAGATTGAGAGAGAATTATTAATCTTTTGGTATTAGTAATTTTTTTGGAAGAAGGATTGATAAGGAGAATATAGAGATGGTATTAGAAAAATAGTGAGGAGATTAGAAATTTTTTTTATTTTTTATATATTAGGAATTTTTTTTAATATTAATGTTTAATTTTTTATATTTTTTTATTTGTTTTATTATTTTATATAAAAATAATTTAACAATTAATCACTATTAATCCCTTCACTATCAATTCCCTCACTATTAATCCCCTCCATTCTATCTCTTAAAACAAACGGGGCCTAATAGTCGTGATAAAATGGAAACCTTTCATTAAATTTTAATTTGATAAAAATTATACTCCAATGTTAATATCGAATTAATATTAAATTCAAAATATTTTACATCTTTCATCAAATTGAATATGTCTAAATTTTTTATTAAATTAAATTACTTAAATTACTGTAAATAGTTACTAGTTTTACAAGTATACATGAGTATTGGACAATCGGTTGTCTCTTAGTCGACCACCTCATTCTAAAATTTGTTTCAGGATTTTAAAAATTTTACGCTGGTCGGTTGACCGGCTGATAGGGCTGCAAACGAACCGAACCGAGCCGAGTTTTGCTGAGCTCGAGCTCGGCTTGTTTACTTATCGAGCTCGTTTATTGAGCTCGAGCTCGGCTCAATAAGGAACTAGGCTCGAGCTCAGCTCGGCTCGGCTCGGCTTGATAATTTTTTTTTTCATATTATTTATATTATAAAAAATGTATTTATATTATTATTTATATATATTTATATATTTTTAATATATAAATAATGTATTCATATATATTTATATACTATTTAGGGAAATTTACCCATAAGTCCTAGTTTTTGAAACGTTGAACCATTTAGTTCTAAAAGTTTTCTTATGCTCCATTTAGTCCCATTTTTACATCAACATGATGTGAATGATGTAAATGATCTGATGTATTTATGTATTATTTAATATATATGTATTATTCAATATATAAATAATATATTTATTATATAATTTAAATAAAGATAAATGAGCCCTTAACGAGCCGAGCCAAGCTTGTTCATGAACAATTCGGTTCATTTGCAGCCCTATCGGCTGAATATCCCCCGGTCGTCCTCCAGGTCGACCGGTGATTTGATAAAATTTCAGATTACTCTGTTGAAATGCGCAATATCAGATGAAGTTTTTATTTAAATTTAATGAAAAAAGATAATAAACATTGGTGATACTCTTAGACTATAATGGCATGGTCAAAAATATAATTTGACAATCTATATAATAGTAAATTATCAAATTATAACAATAACGTTTCAAAGATTACATGCTATTTTGACAAATTTTAACTAATTTTTCCTTCAATTTTGTAGATGACGTTTAGATATAGGTTTTTAAGTGATTTTTTTATTATTTATATTTTGGCCTTTTATGAGCTTTCTAATTTTTTTAAAAAAAAATTAAATATTTACATTCTATCTGACTAATGTTTGAAATCCAATGTTTGTAACATGACTCTGATGTTATTAACATTGTATCTGATGTTATTAACATTGTAATGAGACCTTTCAGTCTATAAGAAAACTTTTAGGACTAAACAGTGCATAAGTTATTAATTTGAGATTTACTGGTGCATCCCCCAAAAAGAAATATTAAAAATTACAAATACTAGAAATACTAAAAATGTTAAAAGTTTGAAAAATTAAAATTAGATTGAAATACTAATGAGCTTGTTTGGTTCCATTTTTTTAAAAACAGTTTTCAGAAAATTTTACTTTCTTATTTTTCGTATTTTTTTGTTTTTACTTAATTTTTTTAATAGTTTAAGCAATTTTTTTACTTTTTAGACACACCTAACATAAATACACCTAAAAAGTAAAAAAATTGCTCACCCCAAAAATTACAATAAAAAGAAACTCAATAAATAAACTTCTAGTTCCCCAAACAAAGATATAAAATTGGGAAGAAGAAAAAAAAGGAAAAATTTCATTTATGTGGATGTATGAAAAAATATTTTCAAATTAATGTAAACTTCACAATATTAAAAAATAAAATTATAAATTTTTTATTAATCCACTCACATGTGATTTCTTCAAAAAAAAAAACAATCTACATTAAAATTTTAAAAAGATACTACCTACATTAAAAAAATCACAACCATTCATTCACATGTTTCTCTTTCATCTCAATTCTATCTTTCTCTCTTTCCAGAAATTTTAGAGACTTCCAAGTTCTCTCTCTCTTTTATCTCCAGAGCTCTCTCTCGCCCTTTCTCCATAAACTTCTTCTATTTTCTCTCTCTTTCATCTCTCAATTCATCTCAGCTCGCTCTCTCTCTCTCTCTCTCTCTATTGTCCATCTCTCCCCTTCAACGATTGTGTGTTTAGGTTAGAGTTCATTCGATCTGGGTTCGTTCGAATCAATCAAGGGCCAAAAGCGGGTAGGAGTTCGTTCGATCCATCAAGGTTTATTCGAATCTTCATCATTTAGGTTCATCTCTTTCATCTTAGAAGTTTAACGAAATCTCAATCTGAAGAAGATGAAGAGGACGAAATTGAGTGAAGAAAATGAAGAAACTTCAAACCCCTTTCCAAGTATTTATTTTTGTGAAATTACATTTATGAAATTAGTTGAGATTCCTTTTGCTTTGTTTGAGATTGCCTGAAATTTGTGAGAAATTGATTGAAATTTCTCTGAAATTGTTTGATTATTGTTATGATTATTATTTGTAATTATTGTTTTGTAGTGATTGTTGTTGTTGTTGTTTTTTTAATTTTGTTAATATATATATATATATTATGTTTGAGGGGGGGGGGTTTTGCCTCCATCTCCAAAAATTTGAAAGATAGTATTTTTTTTTATTTTATATTATTGTATTGTTGCTAGATTTTTCTCACTGTGTTTGTTTGTTCCATGGAAATTTGGAGTCAAATTTTGTTTATTTGAATGATATGACAAGTTTGGCAATTGCCAAATTTGAGAGGGGTTGTAGTAGCCCATTGGAGCAAGGTTTTTGGAGACTCTTGCAAAATTTTGGCAATGGCAACTCCGCTAGCTTGCATTGAAGATGCGCTTACACTCCTTTTTGATGGATGGATTTGGTGAGAAAAGAAAAGAAATGGTGAGGATAAGAAATCTCTTCACTTGATTGTATGGTTAAATATGTGAGAAATAATGGGAGATGGTGAAAAAAAATTCTCACCAAACCTCTATTTTGTTTTTCACAAAAAGTGAAATTTTGTGAGAAATGAATTGGATTTAGGCTTATTTTGGGAAGATGGTAAAAAGTGATTTTTTGGCTTTTTTAAACAAATAATTTGGGAATTTGGTAAAAAGTGACTTTTGACTTTTTTGATTAATGTTTGTTTATGATGTCAAATCATAATAAAATGACCAAACTACTCCCATTTATTTAAAATATTTACAACTTCACCTATGTAACACATTTTGACTTATGAGGGTAAAATTGTAATTTCATCGTTGGCTAAAAACCAACTTCCCAAATGAAAAAAAAGGCAAAAAAGCCAACTTTTGGCTTTTGCTACAAACCAAAAAAAGTGGTTAAAAGCCAACTTCCCAAAATAGTCCTTAATGAATGGTTTTTAAAGTACTAAAATTACGCTTATAAAAAAGGGTAAACTATTAATAGGTCTTAATAGTTAGACTTAATTCTCATCAAGTCCTATTGAAAATAAGTCTTGTAAAATTGTAGCTAAAAATATTTTTTTTGTGACAATTTTTTACACACGTCGCTAAAAATTAACAATTAGTGACTTTTTATTGTCATGATTTTTGTAAATTGTCGTTAAAACTTACAATTAGTGACATTTTTCTCTAACAAATTTTTCTCATATGATCTATTAAATAATAAACCCACTTATTAGGATCTACACGTAAGTATCCCTATAAAAAAAACGTAACTTATTAATATGGAAGATTATTTTGATAAAATAAAATACAACAATTTTCTTTATTTTCTCTTATTTACTCTATCAAAACAAAATAGAGTGTTAAATTGTGTTTGGTTGGAGATTTGCGGATATGATTTGAAAAAGGGACAAAGAGAAAATGTAAGTAAAATATGAATAAAATAGATCTATATTTTATTTAGTTTCACACATTTTTTTTTTTTCAAATTCCTTTCCAAATCTTTCAATGAAATACAACTTTAATTCAAACAGAAGTAGAATATTTTTATTTTTGGAAAAAATTCACTTTATCTAGTGATTTGGTAATGGCTTTCCGGGCCTACAACCATAATTCAAGTGGTTATTCAGTATTATCCTTCCTATTTTATTTTGTGTGCTTTATTATCTCAACTCATAATTATAATTTGAATCATTCATTTTAAAAATAAGTGATTTTACTTATACCACTAGTTTATCTCTTTACACCTTTCATATGAGATTTTTTTTTTTCTTCTAATTTTTCCCATGTGTGAAATTATTTTTAAAGACAAAAGACTAAGGCCAAGTTTGGAATTCTTAAAAAAATCTAAAAAGTCAAAAAGTCACTATCCTATTTGAGTCACATCATCTTATTTAAGTCACATCACATCTCTATCATATCACTTTAAACCCAACTCATATCCAACCCATATTTTATAAAAAGTCAAAAAGTGCACTTATTTAGGACACCTCAAGTATCCCCTAAAATTAAATATATTTTATTATCTCTTTATACCCATTGCTCTTCAATCCCTACTGCTCTTCTTCCCTTCTCAAATTTTTTTCTCTGTTACATATCTCTTTTCAAAAAGTGAGAATCGTATTTTGATCATAAAAGAAAGTATTGGATGAAGAAACGATGGTGAAAAATCATTAAAAAAAAAAAAAATGGTGAGTTTTTTTTAATTTGTTTGGTAAGTTTTCGTTTCATTTTTTTTGATAGAATTCTTCG